TTGTCCGTCTCACCAGGTCTATGAAGGCGGCATATCGTAGCTGTTCGTGGCGTCCAGTGGGCCTTTCTATCGGCTTTGACTCAAAAACCGCCTCGACGTTTTTTTAGCTTCCACACATTGCATTTCAACATCAAATTGAGAAACACGTAATGCTAAGGATTAGATAATCATAAACTTGTCAAAAATTCAAGGATCAAATTAACCCAGGCCGAATGTTCGTCAAAATAGATGATGTCAAGAAATATAGAAAGAACTACCGTCGTGCTAGCCACACATGGAGTTTTGTGGCTGTGGTGTACGCGATTTTTTTAAAGCCGGTCGCGCATTAAGTCGTGTCTGAAAGTGCTGCAGCTACTCAATATCGAGGGCGGCTATCCACCGTAGCTAGGAGCATCCGGCTGACAAGGGCAACTGGTAACCAGTCCGATTGTCCTCCAGAGCCCATTTCTCGACTCGTCTGCGGAGTCCTTTAATCATTTGAGACCAAGACGCATGTTTCGTCGAAGTCTCATCTTCCAAGGTTGGAGCTCGACTTGGCCTCTACCAGATCCGTCGGTGTGTGTCGAGCCACAAGTCTCTTTGTATTTTGCCATCTCCTATATTTCAATCCCCCCGAAATCCGCCATTTTGTGAAAATTCGGCGTCCTCCCACGTCCCCTTACGCTAGCTACATCAGCAGTTGTTCGCCTATGCCTCAGCTTCCGCGCGTCGAAAAAGCATGGCTGGAGGCAGCAAAAAATGGCGACGTCGACCAGATGAAGACGCTGCGAAAATGGTATCCGCAGTGGCTTAATCTCAGTCGGGTAACGTAAACGTTCAATCTATTCTTCCACCCCGCTTGTCTGTTGTTAAAATTAAGAATCTTGACAGACCGTCGACGAAGACACGGCGACGAACGATTCCGACGGTTTCCTGCCCTCGCGGTCGCCTGGCTTCTGCAGTTGGGACGGTTTCCACTTGCGCACCGTCGGAGCATCGGCCCTACACACGGCGACCTGGCATAGTGACAATAAGATTGTCCAGTATCTTCTTGAAGAGGGTCAGGACCCCGATACAGAAGACGAAAGCGGCATGACAGCAATTGTGTTGGCAATCATGCACCACAATTTACAAGCGACGCGCTGTGTCTACCGCGAACGCGTTGCAATCCAGCGAAACTTGGCCATGGACGTAAGTAAAAAAAAAATCTTTTTATTAACTTATTCTGATCATGCCAACATTTTTTTCTTCTTTTCAGTGTCGAGAGGAAGATGATCTACGGACACGTCACACAGTGTCCCTCATCCAACTTTTCCTACGTTTCAATGCTAATGTCGACAAACAGTGTCAGCGAGGGAAGACTGCACTGCATCATGCCACAACGGACGATGCGTACGAGGTCGCACGTCTTCTTCTCTCCAGTGGAGCGAGTGTCGACGCGCAGGATAGGTACGTCTGGTGGTTCAACAAAATATCAGACCTAACACGTGTCTTTAATCGACAGGAATGGACGTCTCCACTACACCATTGCATACAACCGCCAAGTCTATTGGTAGCAGATCTGCTCCTTTGTAGTGTGTGGCAAGCA